TCCTATTATGAGAGGGCACCTGATCACAATGACAGCTGGAAGCCAGGTCCAGTGTCCAAGGAAGAACCCGAAGACGAAGACGACCACTGGTCCGATTTTTATTTTTTAAAACCAAAAAAATTCACCTTTTCACAATGAAAGCTGGAAGCCAGGTCCAGTGTCCCTTACATAAACCAGACCCACACAACCCTTTTGTTATGATTGCATGACTGCTCCCTTTCTAGGCACCACTCTACCCCTCTCCTTCTGCAAAACAGTTTTCTAGTATTCTTCATGCATCCTGTCCTCACACTCCAATTCCGACCCCCTAAACAGGGTACGGATGTGATTTTCCCAAAAAAGAGGGAGACAGGTTGGAAGTTCAATATAGAGCATACATGCGGTGCAGCGACATGCGCTGCAACGCGCACGTGCAGTGCACATCGCACGCAGCGCATTCAGAAATTGGGGGGTCTCTGAAAAAAAACGAAAGTTGGGGGGGGGGGGGGGGGGGGGGTGTTGCAAGGCCGGTAGCCACTTCGCGCCGCCGGTTAGCCAAAAAAGAAAAAAAAATTGAGGTTGCGCGGGGCCCCGCAAAAATGAAAGGGCGGGGAAGATCCGAGTAGTTTGTTTTCGAACTACTCGGCCCTGCCCCACGCTGGGCCCACCCCGGCAGTCGACCGCAACCCTGCCCCGCACCGTGTGTTGCCCTCGCCGCTGTCGTCATCGTCTTCTCGTATTTCTCAGAGAAGGAAGCAGCCCCCCACGTCGTTGTTCAGCCATACCCTGCGCAGCTTCAAACAGCAGCAGGAAGCAGCGAGGAGCCGAGGGTCGCAGCAGCGGGAGGAGGCGAACGAAGCAGCGGTATCCACGTGGGTTACCACCAGCCCCTCCCTCTCTCTCTCCCTCTCTCTCTCTCTATATATATATATATCGTCACAAATAGAACTGCCCGGTAAACCGTAGGCAGAGAGAGAGAAGAGGACAACAAACGAGGGGCTGTGACAAACTGTTTCGTCGGAGTTTCACCGACTCATCAGGAGGCTATATATATATATATTCTATTTGACGATATATATATACGATATATATATATATATATATCGTCACAAATATATATATATCGTCAAATATATATATATATATATATTGTCACATGATATCAGAGCGCCGAAGCGAAAAACGAAAGAAGGAAAACAAGAAAAACTTAATTCATTTTTAATCTTCTTCCTTACAACTCCCCCTGTTCAGAACCTCTTGCGTACAATGCCGCCCACGTGGATGTAGGTTATATATATATATATGGAAACTGCGCAGCTCTTCGTCCTCGTTATCCTCCTCTTCTCGGGCTTTCTTTTGCGTCCACATGGCACTTTCTTCTCCTCCTTCCCCTTCTTCCCTCCTTTGTCA